GGGTTTACCGTTTCCCGCCTTTGCAACCGCGAGGGCCTTGGGCCGTTGGCCCCTGGTTACAGTGTTACACCACCCATACACCACCCCTGCCCCCATTCACCAATCCATCCCCGTGGGGCCGTACGGCCACACGACAATACGAGCATGTCTAGTCATTAGTTGAAAAAAGAAAAAAAAAACAGAAAAAAAAATTAAAAAACCATTTACATTCTTGACCGCAAAAACAAAAAAAAAAGGAACACTACAAACTTGGTAAGTTAGTACAAAGTACTTACTCCCGCTTTCGCACCCCTTGCGGCCCTTACGGACCTGCGGCGCTGCTGGCACCCACCCCCATATACCAACCCATCCCCGTAGGGTCATATCATGGCCCATATGAGCATGTCCTCTCATTACTGGAGCAAAAAAGACAGAAAGACAGACCATTTACATTATTTTCCAAAAAAAAAAAAAAAAAAAAACGAACAGACTACAAAGTACCTCCTTCAAGTTCCTTTCGCTGTTGCACGGACACAACTTGCTCCCCTTGCGGCACTTAGGGACCAGCAGCGGCCTCCCCCATTTACCAAATTACCACCCCGTCCCCGTAGGGCCATACGATGATACGAGCACCCTTATCATTAGTGGAAAAACAAAAAAAACATTAACAATATTTATCACACACACAAAAAAAAAAAAAAAAAAAAAGAACACTACAATCTTAGTACAAAGTAGTTCCTCCCGCTTTCGCACCCCTTGCGGCCCTTACGGACCTGCGGCGCCCACCCGCATTCACTAACCTGTCCCCGCAGGGTGACATGAGCATTTCCTCTCAATGCTCTCATTACATGAAAAAAAAAAAAAAAAAAAAAAGATATACCATTTACATGATTTACTGCAAAAAAAAAAAAAAAAAAACCTACAAAGTACGTCCTTCCGCTGTTGCACCCCTTGCGGCCCTTACGGACCTGCGGCGGCCTCCCCCATTTACCACCCCATCCCCGTAGGGCCATACGACAATGTCTTCTCATTACTGAAAAAAGAAAAACACAAAAATACAATAGACCATATACCCCCCCCTCTTTGAAGCCGTTTCAAGTTTCAACAGCCAAAAAATTAAAAAAAGGGGACACCCCTTCTGTTCTCCTCATTCCGTCTTGCCCCTTTTCCACAGCATGCACGACTCTTATGGATTACAATGAGGATGGTTCAACTCACAATGCACACTTGAACTCGCCTCAAATAATGTCAATGAGGCATGCCCGTGAATTACAAAAGCAGTGGAATGCTTTGTGCTAATCTCCTTCTTTTGTAACAATATGTGCTGCCACACCATGCGCAGTCAGCACCAAAGGAGTTATGGGACACAGTTACACCACCAAACTGCAGTTTCCAACTTCCCGCACTCTGCCCCCACACAGTCTAAAACGGAATACAGAAAGACACCCTATTGGGACCGCCATGTGGCATGCATGTATGACTTCGTTTTTTGGTTCTAGTTTTCCTACTCTGATTGTCCCCCCATCTCATGGGGCTGTACGCTCTTGTTACACGTTGAGAGTTTCGGAGTAGGTGATAAGCAGGTATGACTTCGTTTTTTTTAGCACTAGTTTTCCCATTCTGATTGTCCTTTCCTCTCATGGGGCTGCACACTGTTGTTGTACGTTGAGGGTTTCGGCGTAGCTGTTAGGCTAATGCTTTGTGAAAAAAAAAAAAAAAAAAGACACCTCGGCACCTACGGCACAGTCTAAAACGGAATGCAACTGCTGCGGTCGGGGTTGTGGTGCTGGGTCGCCGGTTGCGGGAACGGGGGTATGCGGGGCTGGGATGCGGGGTCGGGGATACGGGGCTGCGGGGTGCGGGACACGGGGCTGGGGGATGCGGGATGCGGGGCTGCGGGGTGCGGGATGCGGGGTGCGGGATGCGGGGCTGCGGGGTGCCAGGTGCGGGGAACGGGGTGTGGGATGCGGAGCTGCGGGGTGCGGGATGCGGGGCTGCGGGGTAACGGGTGCGGGATACGGGATGCGGGGTGCGGTGTTGCGGGGTCCGCGGGTGCGGTGGTGCGGGGCCGTGGGGTTGGTCGGCCGGTGGCGGGGCTCGGAGCGCGGGGTCGGGGTCAGGCCGGGGTTGCGGGGTAGCGGCGCCGGTGGCGGGGGTAGGGCGCCGGTGGTCGGGGTGCGGGGTCGCGGGGCGGGGAGCGGTGGTGTAGTGCGGGGACAGCGCCGGCGGTGGCCCGCCGGGGTGGCGGGGGNGGGGAGCGGTGGTGTAGTGCGGGGACAGCGCCGGCGGTGGCCCGCCGGGGTGGCGGGGGTCGGGGTTGCCTGGGCGGGGTTCGCTGAGGGTTCCGGGGCGGTGCTGCGGGGTTCCGGGGCGGTGGAGCGGGGTTGGTGGCGGGGGTCGCCGGGGTCGGGCGGTGGCGGGGGTGTCGGGGCCGGTGGCGGTGGTCGGGGACCCCGGACCCGGGGCTCCGGGGGTGCAACCACCACCCCGGCTTCGTCCCCGGGGTCCGCGCGTGACATCCCTGTTCGTAACAACATCACCTCGCACATGGCCGGAGCGGTTCAAACTGGAGTTGCAAAGGTGTGGAAGATTGTGCAACAGAATCATAATTTATCCCATGCGGAACGAAGCGGGGACAACCAGTCAACGCATCTCTTATTGCTCTGTGAGGATTTCCTTAAACGATGTCGATTTATGTAGAGTGAATTGTGTAGCATGCATAGGCAAGGGT